CAGTGGTGCTCTTGCTAGGCCGATGGTGCTCCTGACAGGCCGGTGGTGCTCCTGTCAGGTCTGTGGTGCCCCTGATAGGTCGGTGGTGCCCCTGGTAGGCCTGTGGTGCCCCCGGGCCCCAAGGGGCATGACCCATGTGACCCCACCTTGGATCCGCCACTGGTTGGCACCCATGCGAAATCCAGAAGCATCCAAAAACTTTTTTATTACGAGCGAGCGTGAAACGTGAGAAGTGAAAAGTCAGCAAAAGGTACGTGTGTGGGGGGGGGGGGGGGAGGCAGTTAACATTGCTGGCCCCCATTCGAAAGTGGGGGACCATTGCCCCCTGCCCCCTGTTCCTACGCCTATGCCAGTAACCCAGTAACCGATCAACTAATGCAAGGCCGCCTAACATAAATTGTTAGTTTACGCCGTTTACGCATTCTGCTGCGCCAGTAACTATTGTCTCTCTTTGCAGCGCGCGCTGCCCCTAAGCTGCCACTTATTGCTTCTGACAAAGTTACCTTTCATTGCCCGGTGGAGGAAAATTGCACTCAATAACGATGAAGCACAAATGGAAATCTTCATGGAAGGGCAGGCCGGAGAACCGTCAAGTTTGTTCTTTGGGGTGATACCTACAAATACAATAAAAAGTTCGGCAAAAAGTGGGGGGGGGGGGCAGTTAACATTACTGGCCCCCCTATATGAAAAGTGGGGGGCCACCGGCCCCCCGTCCCCCCTGTTCCTACACCTATGCGTTTTAGCCTCAAAATATACTTTTCGCGGAGGACGTTTATCTGTAATACCTCTTGGCTCAGACCTGCACGAGATTAGTTTATCCAGCATCGTGTTCCATTTTTCGAGACAGACGAGTCAAATGAACTAGAATTTGACATTAATCCTCGCCGGCCGAGGGGGGGGGGGCGGGTGCCGCCCCCCCCCATAGGGTTTTTTCGCGATAGCTCCGAACACGCTGGCGATAGAGAGTTGAAACTTGGCATACCTGACCTTTGATCCAAGCCGGATCTTTTGACACCAACCGCATTTTTGGATCAGGTCAGGTCACTGATCTATGACGTCATAAGTGAACCTCTGCACGGTCTTCAGATGTCGCAACTTCGCAACGCCCTCACTGCTAGAGGAGATGTCACACGGAAATGAAACTTGCAGGGTCTAGTATCTATTATGAGTCCCACAACTTGTATATCTCGGATTTTTCCTAAAGGTCATATGAGGTCAGGTCAATTTCGTGACCTCACCATTATAAGTCAATGGGGAAAAATGAAAACTGCTATTCTGGCGCCGGGAACGATCTCCAACTACCTCAAGCACACCGAATCGTGATTTGATGCACTCCTTGCAAGGTTAGATGCGTCACTTTTGCAATGTTGACCTTGCGTGACGTCATTTATGACGTCATCAAGGTCATATTAGTTTTTCGTCAATAACTCTTGATCAAATTGAGCTAGCGAGTCGGGAAAGCCACCGATGGACTCAGGAAGGCCTGCCGAATCGAATGATATGCGACATGACCTCTTTCGACCAACTTCGTGACCTGGGGGTGCTGACCTGACCTTGACCTGAAGTCAACACCCCAAGTTGACCTGACCCGGACAAAAAGTATATCATTCGACGCGCCTGAGCGAGACGAACACGATGCTGCCAAAATCGGCGCTCTGCGGCCGTTTTTGCGAAGTTATTCACCAAAAACTGAACCGTACCTTGGGGCACTTGACCTGACCTCAGAGGTCACCGGTTGACCTAGGACCTTAAAATCGGGTACCAATCTCTGCGTCTCGTAACGGCGCACACGCTCGGTTTTTCCGCGACGCGCTAGCTCCACCAGGGGCGAAACGGCGAGGGGGGGTCGTACCCGCCCCCCCCCTCGGCCGGCGCGTATGTAGAAAACCAATAGGTCCGGCGAGGGTTAAAAGGGCATTTGAGAATTTAACCTAAGGTAAAGGTCATCACCTAACCGGGAAAGGTCATACTGCATATTAGTCGATCCAAATTTTCGAGAAGGAAAATAATTATATGTATAGGGTGTTTCATTGGTCTATAATATCTCTATCAAAAGTTATTGTCCAAAATCTACTGGAGACCTTTCATGACCTGAGATTACCTCAGTAACATAAAAGTAATCACATCACGAATGACATTTACCGATTAAATGTGTCATATTTACCTGAATCCCGATGTTTGAGGTTGTTTTCGTTCAGAAGAAGAGCATTTCAATTGTCTCCCATTAATCTGCGCCGTGCTGGAAGGGGGGTTCCGCCCCCTTAGGTTTTTTTCGCGAATATCTCAAAAACGGCGTCGCGCAGCGCCGCTGTTTTTGGTACACCTGTTTATACATCTTTTCTACACAGCTTGTGAAAATTTCAGATCAGGGTCGTTCAAGGTCAGGTCACCAGGGCACGTCAAGTGGCATCACCTCAAAAAAGTTTAAAGGACCGCTATAGCTCCAACCAGGGTTGTGCTTGACTCATGAGTCGAGTCAGAAATTTGACTCAACTCTGACTCAAATGAGTCAGATTTAAGTCGAGTCGGATAAAATGTTGAGCTGTTGAGTTGAGTCAGAGTTGAGTCGGACAAAAATATTAAGGCGTTGAGTTGAGTCAGAGTTGAGTCAGGAAAATAACTTTTGACATTGAGTTGAGTCAAACATTAGGAACATGAGTTAGCTGACTCAACTTTCTAGAAACAACAAGCTTTTCATTCCCCCCCCCCCCCCCGGTTAACAACTTCGCCCTGACCCTGCTGACGGATTTTTATCACCCCCCCCCCCCCCCCGCTCAACATTTTTTTTTATCTGAGTCAATTTTGAGTCAACTCACTTGACTCAACAAAAACTTTGAGTCAAGTTTGAGTCGACTCATATTTTCATTGAGCCGCTGAGTCATGAGTCGAGTCAAGGGAAAAATTCAGCCCCTTGTTTGAGTCAGAGTTGAGTCAGGGCCTTCTGAAGTTGAATGATGAGTCGAGTCGGCACATTTTTTTTGAGTCGAGCACAACCCTGGCTCCAACGACTGAACGATCACTTTTGAAACTTTCAGAGATTGATAAGACTAACAATATGTAGGTATAAAATGCTCATCTCGGACTTTTTATTTCTGTGACCTAAGGTCAGGTCAATTTTAGGACCTCAAGTCAGTGGGAGAAAAGTGAAATGCGCCTCTTTTGGACGAATGTCGTTTAAAACCCTCCAAACATCGGTTCATAGGTAAACATAACACACTGAATCGTAAAAATGGACCTGTTAACCTTTTGTGTGCCCTTGAGGTCATTTCAGGTCATAAACGGTAACCAGCAGTTTTTTGGCTATGATAGAGACGTGCTTGAGTGGTGAAAACACGTCAGATGTGGTCAGCTCGACGATACGGATCGACTGATATGCAGCATGGCCCATTCCGGTCAGGTCATGACCTTGACGTGCGGTCAAATTTTCAAAATGACATTTCAAGGTCAACGTATATGTAGTTCATTCGACGCGTCTCGACGAGAGGAACACGTTCCACGGCGCTGTAGCTCTATTGGTTCCCGAGTTAGCCGTTGGCAGTTTCCAAAATTGTTGAAATGGACTAAATTTTACCTTTGATGACCTCTGGTGACCTGACCTTTGACCTGACCTAAAAATTGAAACGAAGTCTTTCCGTCATTATTTTTGACGCTCTTTCGATTTCCCCTTACTGCGTGTCGCTACGTGGCCCAGGAGCCGAGTTAGAGGGGGGACTTGAAAACGCCCCCCCCCCCCCCAGCACGACACGGAAAGCACAGGCCACCAGTACGGCGCGGGTTAACTAATAGATAATAGAAAGGTCGCAAAATTGACCTGGCCATCTCAATGTAGATATTTGGTCTGAGGAGTACGCAAGGCGAATGTTCGGTGAGATCAGCAGGTTTCTATGGCGCTTATTAAAGTCGACCATGCACACTCACATCATCAAAAGTCGTCTTCTATACCTCGCCGGCCGAAGACATTCTTAACCTTCGTGCCACTATATGGGACAGTCTCACGCCTCACCCATCTGGCACTCATGAAGTCATGAGTGTCTGAGATTCTAAGCACGGCCACCCCGGTCGACCAGAGGCTGCAGTCCACAGGTCACTTTGGATCAGTGAGTGAACTTGCATGTTTTTTTTTTGCAAAGAATAAAGATTGTGCCTATCGATCAACGTATATTTTACCGTTTCGAATTTGCATGGGTGTGTGTTTTGAGATAGCATGTCCGTAGCCTGAGCTCGTTTCCTATATCGTGATAAATATGCATAAAGATCAAGGCTTTTGATAAAAAACACCGGGCTGCAAATTGCAATAATTGGATTTTATGAAAAATCAGCGAAACCTGGTTCTTATACTCGTATTTTGCAACACCTAGTAAATCATGCATGAATATATGACGTTACATTTTAGACTGACCCCCTGTCACTAGCTCACAGCGGCACCCCTCTCAAGGGAAAAGTCGCTCCCTCGAGCACCATGGCCCTCCCCCCTTTCGCTGATTTCTGGCTACGCCACTGATCATGATGATGCCCTTAGTTTGTCCCTATCTTGACTAGTTCGAAAGTTATTCGAGAAAAACTCTATATCTAGCGCCGCCATTTGGATTTTTTTATCCCTGTGACGTCATCTTTGACCTGACCTGAAAATGAACTTATAAAATTGTAGACCTTGTCCATGCGTATCCCATGCCGCTTACCGCTTGTCGCTATCTTGCTTCGTTCTCAAGATCTCAGGGGGGCGGTCATCCGCCCCCCCCGTCGGTTCTAAGTTGGCGCAGACCCCCGTCGGTGCGCGGGTTAAAATCGACGAAACCTTGACACCCCGTGACGTCATTTGTCTCCTGAGTCCTCCCTATGTGGCAGCATAGAACCGTAAGCCCCTGAAAAAAACACCTTTCAGCCCTGAGGCCGGGAATTCAATAAATTTCTCCTGACACCTCGCTTTTTTAGCGGAAGCACGTCGGGCCTGACGGCCCTCGGAGCTTTTGCTAAAAAAAACAAACTCCATGAAAGCTAACCTGGTAAAACAGTTGCGTCTTCTGCGGCTCCCAGAAGGTCGGATGCCTGGCCACGTACTTGCTTGATGGTCTGTCACCTGGTGTTATCTGAATCATCTCTTCGATCAGGCTCCTCATGGAGCCCTTCGGTACGTCATCCAGGCTGAAAATGATTTTTTTTCAGAACATCACACGTCCCGTAGTGGGGAACAACCGATTGATGTCTCGCCGATTATGACACCTTCCAACTATAGTTCGTTTTTTTTTTCTAAGTTCGACCCTCACTGTAAATATTTTTTTGAACAAATCAAGAGAATTGCTAGCTGAAATACCTAGAAAACTGGTTAGCGCACATTGTACTGCAGGTATGAATAATATTTCCAAATAAGCTTTAACCCGCGCCCCAGTGGCGGTCTCAGCCAACTTCGCCCTAGTGGGGGGGGGGGGCATATGTTACCACCCACCTCTAACTCAAAAACTAAGAGGGCTAGAAAGACGCGGTAAAAAGCAGTCGATAGCTCTCAATGCGTACGTTTGCAAGTATTTCGGTCATTTTTCACCTTAGAGCAATATTGGGGTCACCAGAGGTCATCAAAGGTCAAAATTTGCCAATTGTCATTATATTTTTCAGAAAACATGCCGCTATCTCAGGAACTATGGTTGCTAGAAAAATGCATTAAAAAGCAATCGATAGCTTTTGAACTCTTCTTTTGATAAAGTCATTATCAAAATTGACCTCAGGTCAACGGTTTAGCCTCCAGAGGGCAAAACTTCAAAAATAGCTGTTTTTACGAAAAGTGTTTTTCGACAATAACTTCTACCTCCAAAAAGCCACCACATTTCTATTGCCAGAATCGTGTTCCTCTCGCCGAGACGCGTCGAATGAACTATAATTTGACCTTAAAAGGTCAACTTAAAAATTTGACCTCAGGTCAAGGTCATGACCTGACCGGAAAAGGTCATGTTCCATATCAGTCGCTGCGTCTCAACTCTCAACAAGACAAACACAATGAGACCATCCCCAGCGTTCTATCTTTTTCCAATCGCGAGCAGGGTTGTATACGACTCAATCAATAGCAATCAATTCAATCACGACAAATTTGGGAAACCAATCAAATCAATCAAGTCAGAGCAGTTTTCGGGAATTGATTCAATCGACTCAAACGCGACAATGAAAGGAATCAATCAACTCAATCAAACGACTCAAACCAAGACATACATTAGGTTTTTTGCCCCACCAACTTGGAAAAGTGTCCATAGCAGTCTGGTGTACCTACCTACCTACCTACCTACCTACCTACCTACCTACAGAAGAAACATAAAAATATTGTCATTTAAAATTATAAATTGCCATGCCATTCAAACTTTCTATGTAGGTAATAAGGAAGGATATCTATGTAGTGATGGACAGGTGGATCATGATATTGAGGTTCAATGGGTAGAATTGGAGCAGAAGTGTCATTTATTGGGTGCAAAATGACCCAGTAGTTGACTCGCCCCTTAATCCAAATCACCACCTTTCACCTAAAAGTTGTCAATTTAATTTTGGCCATATTCCAACTCCATTTACACTAAATATCCGAAGGTTGGGACTTTTCAATTAGACAATCACTATTCTTTAGAATTGTGATTTTCTATTTATCAGATATTGCAGTTGAAAGTTGGCTGCTCGGATTTTGGCAGTGTTCGTGATTTGGCCATTTACCCTACACTATGTCTATTTTCATGGATAATATGCATCAAAAACATATTAACCATAGGGAAATAGAAATAAATATCTTACCTGCATCATGCATGTGACGGTTTCGGTTAGACAGAGACTGACGGGCAGCCTGAAAAATCATTCCACACAATGTGCATTTGAGACATGGGATGTTGTCAGATTGGGAAGGAAGAGATTTGAAGTATTTAGCGGTCAACGATTCTGGACGTGGCATGTCAATGTTAGGTACCTATGTGAAGAATTCAAAACATTTTATTGCAATGCAATTTGAGACTGTTAGGACTGGGGGATAGGGATGAGGATTAAGGAAATGGAGAGGACAGGGACTCTGGGAAAACGGAACGGCGCGACTGCAAAACAACGAAAACGTTTGGTTTTGCCAATAAGTATGCTAAGCTTTTATAAATCCTTATTCTACTTCTTTTGACTTTGCGGTAAGATGACGTCATTGATTATCATGTAGTATGGTAGATCATCATAAAATAAATCGGTTGTACAGCAACAATTTCGTTTTAATTTTTATTTCATTTCACTTAATAATATTCGGTAAAATATTTTAAGGAAAATGAAATATATTAAATATGTTATGCTTAGGCTCTCAGGAGAAAAAGATCAACAAACGTTCTGCTGCAAATTAACCCTAGAACGCCTAGGGGGGGGGGGGTTGTATCAACCCCCCCCCCCCTGAGGTTTTTTCGAAGTGCACGCTAAACGGCTTGTCGTAGCGGGCTGAAATTTTCAATACCCTCTGGGGCAATCTTTGCGCATCTTTTGCCGAAAAAAAATTGATCGGGTCATGTCAGGTCACGGAGTTATGACGTCATAAGAGGTACAGCCTCCGGCCGACAGTTACCAAACGTGTGCGCCGAATCCCTAGGTTTTCTGCCGGTGATACCCACATTGTTTGATGGATCATGATGAAACTTCCCATGCATGTTGGGGCAAGCATTGGCTATCGTGTGGTGCAAGAAAATTGACCGGGTCAGGTCAGGTCACGGAGCTATGACGTCACAAGAGGAACAGCGTCCGGTACTATTTTTGAAAAGCGCCCGAACCACTATTTTGCTAATTCTTGTCACCTCAATGGGAATATGCAGCAATATTAACTTCTATAGGGAGCAAATGGACCTCCCAAATCCAAAAATATAATCAGATTTCACAAATTTAAATTTTGATTTTTCGAATTTCTGTCGCCGACTGTGACCTTGCCGACTTCCGGCGCTCCCAACGCGCCATTTTTAGAGCTAGGGAAACGAAATACATACCAAACGATAGAGAATTGATCAAGGAACACGATAGTGAAGGTTTCAAGTCGATATCTCCCACCGTTTTGCCGCAATCGCCGCGGAAAGTTGAAAAAATCTATTTTTCCGAAAATTTGACCTTTGACCGGTCAAAAGTAGGTCAAATGTTGACCTAGGACCAAAAAAATATACCACCAATCGCGAGATCTCGTTGAGAGCAATCCGTTGGTTTTTTCCGCTAAGCTCTACGACCTTCCGTTTCGAAACGCCAGGGGGGGTCGTAACAACCCCCCCCCCCCCTGGTCGTTCGTGTTATGAGAAATGGCCTGGTCGTGCGAGGGTTAAACAATGCAGCAAAGTAGCTATCAATTGTACGTAAACGTAATCAGCGAGACGAAAACGGCGCTTTTGTTTCAGTTATTTTTGTAGGGGTTTCAGATATTTATAGAGTTCAGTGGGTTGTTTCTGAGGAGATGTGGAGATGTGAATCATTAATTAATCACACTTTATTAGTATATAGGGCCTTGCACTTTATCATCTGGATTAAAAAAAAAAAACGTTTCCTGCTGAGTGCAGAAAGGAAGGTAGGTGCATCGCCAGGGTCTATCACCAGGATTGGAGCAGTTATTGCAGTCGAAAGTCAACGTTGGCTGTTCATGTTGTTTAGGCCCTGTTCTTTATTTGGCCATCTACCCCATATTGCAGTTGTGATGACAAGCAGTTTTCAGTGTAGTTTTGTGATCTTTGGTGTCAGCAATTGGTGTCATTATTTTTCGTCAACTAAAACTTATTTGAACTTTCCATTCAATCGACTCAATCATACGAGTCACTCTAATTTTCAGGAATCAAATCAGTCAACCAGTCGCTAAAGTCAAACGAGTCAGTCAACCAGTCATCTCGAGAAGTCAATCGACTCAATCCAATCAACTCAAAATACGCGTTGAAACAAATCAATCAATTCAATCGACTTGATTGGTATACAACCCTGATCGCGAGTTATTGGCAAAAAACTGTTTGTAGCCTCAAATGACCTCGGATGACCTTTCTAGAGGCTATCAGCAAAAATGACACCTTGGTCATCACGAGTGGTCTAAATCATTGTGATTCTGAAATATTTGGACTGTTCCTATGCGTACTCACGGATATAGAGGCATTTTCATTTTTCTCCATTGACTTGTAATGGAAAGGTCACGCCACATGCCTGCGATCCCCAGGCTGATGAGGGCCGGCCGGCGCAAGTATTTGAGGCGGTCCCTAAGTCAGTTTCTAAGGGAGTCCACGAACGCTGTCTGGTTAACCCTCGCCCGCACATGCCTTTTTCCCATCCTAGAACGCACATGGGGGGTGGTTGCCACCCCCGCGCCATTTCGTTCCTGTTGGAGATAGAGCTTCGCGGCAGGGACCAAAAAGATTCTTTGGGAAGAGACACATGCAACTATACCCAGTTTTACCATCTCAGGTCAGTCATTGACCTTTCAGGTCAGGTCAAACTAAAAAAAATGTTGCTGTTTTGGGTCACCGTTGGATATCAAGTGCGCTGCTTATCATATACCGATGACGATGCCGTTTTCTGGTGCCAAGCCAGCTAGAACCTCTTTGTCACACTACCCGACCAGGTTTTTGCTGCTGAGGTCATTTCAGGTCAAGTTAGGTCAAGGTCAATGAAATGTGTTTGTATGTATGTCTGTGTGTGTCTGTGTGTATACTGGTGTGTGCACCGATTGTTTATGCGTCCATATTACATGAGATCATGATCTGAGAAGCTTTAACCAAAACTGCAGTCAAAAAACTCCACGAAAAGTAAATCTAGCTTGCCTAAAACGCAATTACCTTAGATGACCTAGGTTAACCTTGACCCTGACCTTGACTTTGACATCTGTACATCGTCGAACAACATGTTCCATGATAGGTTTGAGGTAAGACTGGCAAAAAAGGCCGAAATCAAGGTGTCAAAAGCTCACAAGGCCCATAGCCAACCAAGATGTTGAGAATTGGTCATTTGGGTTATGATACGACCTGAAAAACAAGGTCATATCTCCGAAACCAAAAACCACAGAAACTTGAAATTTTCAGTGGACATCAAGAATGGACAGAGAAGCAGCTCTACGAAAAATAAGGCTTCTAGCTTTAACCCTCTAGTGCCCCCGGTATCATATCTGTAAGTCAATTTGCAGAAAATTCGCCTGCTAATCATAG